GAAAGAAGAGGTGCGGGGCAGATCAAAGCGAATATTGAAATTTACTAATGATATCGAATGGGAAAAAAAATCCCAAAGGCCATCACAGTCGTGTGTAGGTGAACAAAACCGATATAATAGAAACGTTTATCGTGGCAGGGAAAATAAGGGTTAAAATATATGGAAAATCCGGTGGCGTGTAACGTATTAATAAGGGCAAAGCTTTTATTATTGCTATACGGAATGATAATAAAAGGACAAAGCGAATGTAATTTAGAAAAGTTCCATAGAAATATTAATTTTATGTCGGAAAAACCGAATTTTCGTTGTTTACAGGTGCGGAGAATTATAAATTGAACCGATTTATTAAGAATACTGTGCATGTACGTAAAAGCTGCCGTATCGCGAATGTCTTGTGTGGAACGGGACTGAGATGAGAAATAAACCGATGGAGCGTGTGCATGCAAGTCATTTGTAATAAAACGCAATTGTCGAAAATAAAAGAGCCGAAAAGAAAATCATTTTTGTAGCTCATGGGCCGGGTGATTTTTCAAAGGAATATAATCGAGACAGGAAATTTGCAGACGTCGGTTTGATTGAAATTAATCTGTATTTTGTCTTATTTTTATTCTCTGCGAGTATGAACATTAGTACAGTTGAGCCTTATATGGCAATTGCTATACGTGACGCGACTATTGGTGTACACACACGTTGTGTATAAAAAGTACAAGGGATTTGTAGCGCAATAAAGATATACGCACTCGAAGTAAACGGGTTTTGTACCGATATCATTTGGCGGCCCGTTCCAGATTACTAGGAAAAGCCTGTTTTTTACATCGGCAGTGCCATGCGAGAAACGGCATAGGTGTAAGGCGATAACAAGCGCAAGCTGACGGTAAGCTCGTCATAAGCCCCACGGTTATGATTGATTGGACGTCGGATATACGTTTAGTGCGAAACTTCCCCTATTCCCTGTCCCCTACGTGATTTAATACAAAGTCAAAATTTGTCATGTCCGACCTTTCGTTTTATCGACGACGACGCCAGTATTCGGGAAAGAGAAGTAACACGTTGCACTAATCTCTTGTCGATTTCTCATTTCACTGCCACCGGCCCAATCGAATTTCCTTTGGAAATTGCCAAAATAATAACATCGGCCACCCTTACGGCGCCTGTTTAACAACATTTGCGCGCCGAGTGTGTCATCTCGTTTTAATAATATCGGTCGTTCCTTCTTTGAAATGTAATTCGTTCAATGTCGTTCTTTCTATATAAAATTTGTCTCCTCTGTTGTGTGTTTGTTAGAAACGCAAAACCAATTTCGTGATTCACGACCTCTCTCTTATAACTGCTTGTCGCCACCGGTATGTCGGCACAAATTCACGACGTCTTAATCGGTTAATTGCCTATTAAGGCAAAATGTAAAAATAAATAAAGGAACGACGAGGATAAAAAAAAAAAAAACAGAAAGCTATCGAACATTTTTCTTTACCAATAACTCTGTCTTATATATATATATTTTTTTATCAGTAGTTAAACGCTTTTAATGTGCACTGGATAGACATTGGATTTTTTTATTTAATGGATCGCGGGAGCCCGTGTATGACATAACGATAATTGATCACACAGCGAGTATATTATTTTCGTTTCAGAAATTGATTAACCGGTCGGCCAAGTCCTTCTTCGCTTCTCGCACTTATTTTCTCCGGGGGCTTTGTCCGGTGGCCGCCGTATGATCGGTTATGTGTGTGTGTGTGTGTGTGTGTGTGTGAATGTTTGTTCTCTCCGTCTGCCTCTTTTGTGCAGTGTTTGCTGCTTCTGCTGCTGATCACCGACCTAAACGAACCGGTTTTCTCCCTCTTCAAGCTCGACACATCACTTGGCTTTTTATTAATATTATTACATTGTACTGCACAACGCTACACTATAGTAATAGTACAGCTATTTCATAGCTATACATGACCGGCGTAGTTCAAAACTCGGAAGGCGAATGTCGTACTACGAGCAAGAGACTAATTTACACTTTAATACGCTCTTGAAAAAATGTTATTTTTTAGCCAACTTGTTTTTTGGACTGTTATATTCTAGTGGTGGTGGTGGTGGTGTTCGCAACGGTTGGCGCGCATAATAAATAAAAATATTAAAGATTTATCTAGAAGATATGAACAATTTACGACTTTTATTTTTTTGAAAATTCTGTAAACGGAACTCCCATTCTTTTAAAGATCAATTAAACTTTTTATGGGTTATTTGAAGTTTATTGCTGTTTTCTACCTTCCGTTTAATTAATACGAGTAACGTCAAATGTTTATGTCCAGTAATTCGGAATCGAATTGCGATTTTATGTCGAAATTGACATATCATGGTCTATTAAATGTTATATGAACACACAACAGTAATAATATTTAATAGTTATCAAGACATTACGGGCAAAAGGGCGATGAATAGATTACTCGCTTACTTAAACTATACGTTGTCCGTAACATGATATGTGCAGCATAGTTATAACGGTTTATTGAGAAAATACTACCACGTTTTTAGTTACAATAATTATTCAAGTCCAATAAAGGCGTTTTTTCATGTTTCTCTCTTGATATTTAGTTACAAAGAAATAGCAATTTACTCCTAAACACCGACCGTGTCAGTACCGAGAGATCACAAGAGAGAAACGTTTCATAACCATCGCTGTTTGTGGGCCGTGGCTTATTGTGTGTTATTACTAAAATATTCAATAACGAGGTTTAACACGGAGTCCTTAACTAGAAATCGTTATTAGAACAGTATCATATAATTAAACCGTCGTGCAAGTTATTTCATTGTAATTGTGTTTAGACTTGTAAAATACAATGTGAAACGTTCAAACTATTTGATGTGTTCGCTGTTTAAAATACCTCGAGATAAATATTTCGTGTTGCTACATTTTACAAATCTAAAATTTTTTGCGCTATCGTCAAACGCTCTTGTCAACAAATCATTTTTTATTTCAGTCATGGCAATTTATTTGTTGTCATCTTTATTGGAAAGGAAATCGATTTTCATTTTCTAGTAAAGTAAATTCTTGGGGGAGCTCTTGAGCGTCACGTCTACGTGGACAAATCGATTTGCCGTGTTCGCCTCGTTTTCCGCCACCACTTCAACAAGAAGCCAACACTTAAATACACAAAAGAACAGTGCAGTGCGGCAGTAAGTGCGCTCCAGTGCGACGGAACATCCCGCCGATCGTCGCCGGCTATTACCCTTGTACTCCGGCCACCCCGTTCGTTGAAAACACACGGAGAGAGAAAAAAACCGAGCTCCGTCAAAGCTAAAACGATATTTCTCGAAGAAACCGACCGTTAATAACGACAAACGGCTATTGTAAATGTTGCACAGCGCAGTCGACCCGTAAGCGTTGTGTTTTCGGCCGGACCGACACCGCTCGGGTCGTACTTGACGTGCATGTGCGGTTGTTGTAGCTGATCTGATCGACACACGTGGCGGCCAATTTCCCGTGTTTCGTTCGCGGACGAGGTGTAATTGTTAATTATACGGAAGGTGTGCGAGATTGTCGTCGACCGATAGTAAAGTACACCCTCCGCCGCTGTGCAAAGGGCTTTGTGCACTTTGTCAAGTGTGCTCCTCCTCCTCCGTTTCTGCCACGGTGAACTCGATTGACCCTACGCCGCTGCAGTTCATACCTTCCACACGCGGACAGGCTACCGCGACCGGAGCCGCCGGCCCATAAATCACGGCGGCCACCACGTCTCGCGCGCGAGTACTCTGTAATGAGTTTGTTATTATTATTTTAGTCGCATTGTACGAGCGTGTGCCTTATAAGCGGATGACTCGCTGCTGCCGACGACAACCTGTAACTCGTCGTCCGCATTTGCTATCGGTCGTTGTATAATATGCGCGTCGATGAGCCACAAGCGGTGATGGGGAGGGGGTGGGGGGAGGTGGAGGGTCAGACGCAGGTATGTCGTGGAAACTTTTGCCGGGGTTAAAAAAGGCGAGCATATACAACACCAGCCGTCTGGTATTTTTTTTTACCACTCGGTTCTCGGAACAAACATATACCCGATGCGATATTATGTACTTATGCGTCATTGTGAAATGTTATGAACGCATGAAGCCGATTCCTACCTCTCGACTGTTGAATAGCTGCGCATAAGAACTGTATTGTTCGGTCTAGATGCGACTGTAGAAATTACTCGTCGAGTTGTACAATGTATTGGTAATGCGCTCGACGACCGCGCGTAAAGTCGACTAATTGTCAGAAATAAATGTAAGCGGAAGTCATATTTCCCAATTAAATTTATATCGCCAGGGCCGCGTCGAGATGTTTGCACGATCCAACCAGGCGGTACGGTCTCCGACCGAGAGTTTGCTTTCTTCGTGTAATAAGCTGTGGGAATGCTTAAGGACGTTCGACAATACGGCAAAAGTGGGTTTTCGATGGAAGATATCTCAATGGGGGCGCGAGGTGATAATACGGTAAATAATGGACGCGTTTACATCGAGTCGACGAATGACGACCCGTTCTGCGTTATGTGCAGATAAACGGCATTTATTGGACAATCGTATCTCTCGCGGTCGTTTTAAAATGCATATTTTCCGTACGCGTGCAGTTAAGTAGAAAACGGGTAAAAGCGAAATAGTTGGAAAACGTCAGGTCCGACTCCGGCGGAAGGACACTAATTGGTAAGCCGACGGACAGACGCTCGGCATAGAGATTGGCCGGTACAGATAAAGTGAACATGGCGCGTCAACACAATAGCCACGCGATAAAAGCGGTGGGAGGGGAAAGGAGTCCGAGAACGGAATAAGGGGCACAATCAAAGGGCACGTACAACATATATGTATAATCGGATACATCTTGAAACGCCGCTGTTAATAACGTGGGCCGATCCTGTACTTGTCAGTTGTCGCGAATTAAAAGAGCCTATGTAATTGTTCAGATAATAACATACGTTATTGTATAGAGTTATAACGACACAGTTTTAGGACAAACTTATTTATGTATTTTTTTTTTTTTTTTACAGGAACAATATTCAACTATGAGGAGGTAGCCGTCGGTATCATGCTACACGAATTCAAGCACTGTTTGGTGGCTTTCCTGCTGCTGGTCATTGCAGCTGTTGGCCCCGGACGATCCGAACACGGTAAGTTGAAATTATCATGTCATTGCGTTGGTCCATAACAACATTAGTGTTCGACTTGTGGCCGATGTCAGTTGGTCAACTCTCATAAACTAGGCTGAGACGTCTTTAGTGTATACAATCATTGCACAGAGACACCTATGCGCCAAAGTTTTTCTCGACGACGTTTCTCGTGTAAAAAAAAAAACAATAAAAAGACATTTCCGGTCGTTAGACGCGTCACATGTTCCGCGTAAAAATACGTCTCTGACCGCCGTGACACGTTCATAAATTATTTTACTCTTGTGTGGTGCGGTATGAGAAGATGTATTCGAATCGCGATTCACACGACAATGTAAGCTGCGGTGTATTTTTAAACATTTTTATTGATGTCTACTGTAGTCGTCAATTATGTATTCAGTTTTAAATTAAAATTTAATAATGCTGAAGTCACGATCGTTTCAATTTCCAAGTTATACTTTTTTCTTTATGAATTTCGGGTGTTTTTGCGAAAGGAAATTCTGAAATCAATATTGATAATAAATAATACACTATCTTTTTTCATCTTCCAAACGCGTATTTTTGCCTTTTATATTATGCATTTAACTATTTCCCGGAAGCCGAGATGTGGTTGTTTCCATTAGTGTATACACACATTTGCAAAGCGAGCTGCCTTGAGCGTGTTGCTGGTGATTACACAAAAAAAAGCAACAGGATCTAGCATCGACGTTTTGTTAAGAGTAAAAAATGGTCTATTGAGAATGGCGCGGCTGCATCGCACGTCGAATTGTATTTTATTTATTTATACTTTTTAAAACACACAACGCACACCGTCGGAATATAATATTAATCTTTCATTATATTAATACTTATTCTTCCTTTCTGTTGCCGTCTCTGTTGTACACACGTCTGTAACTTGCGGCCAATCATCGCAGTAGGAAAACGAGGCGCATTCTTAAATCAACATGCCCGGAGACTCCCCGGGGCCTTGCAACCGTACCAACACTACATCACGAGTCTTGTACAGTATCAAGGGCAATGGATTTTAAACGCACCGTCGCCGGATAGTTAATACAAATGCGCGTGACGGTCTCTCTTCTCGGTATGATTTTACAACGCCGTTTAAAGACAACGCACACACACCAGTATCAGCACGTATAATAACATAATATTCTTCCCTTGCATGCCGACGTCTCATTTTTTCCCCTCGCATTCATTTTCGAGTAATAATTTTGTATACCGATTATCCATTGATGCATTTTATACAGTTCCGACGTCGACCATTTCACGTAGGGTACTTAAATATCAACGATATATAACGCGTAGCGCTATTATATTTGTATATGTTATTATGCTGTCGCCTTGTCTTAAAAGCCCTAACACTTCGTAACATCCCTACGTGTAATTTAATGTTATGATTTAACAGCATTTCGTTTTTTGAAATGACCACATTATTGTAGAGTAAAAGGCGTTTTCATCCATATAGCTTTCTTTATTGGCCGTTTTAGTGCAGAGAACAATCTTTTGGCGAGAGTTATAATAAACATAAAGTATATAAAACTAAAAAAAATAAAAAGGGACGTAAACAACAAAATATATAGAATATAGTAACGTGGTTCGTATGACAGCATACTCTTATATGTGCCGTACATCATAATATAAACTGCGTTATACCTATAATGTTGGCAGTATAATAATATGATCTAGCACCAGTACTCGCTGTGTAATAATTTTATATAGTCGATGTGGATTTTGGGCGTCCTCGAGCAAAAGGGATCCTATATTGAAAAGTTCCAAACCTCTGGGGATTCTTGGTAGCAATGAAATTTTATTAGGCGTTTCTAGAACACCATCTGGACGAATTATATTACTTTTATAATAGTTATTATTATTTAGATAGCGCGTGGTAAGAGTTTATAATCGTCGGAAAACTATAGCGGAGATCATTGTGCTGATAATATTCCGAATGTGTACTCCGCACTTAGTAGTAGTATCTGGTAACAGATGGGGTTATTGAAGCAACATTGTGGTACACACACACACACACAGGAACTGACGCCTTTTAGAAAGAGCTGTAGCTACATTGTTAATGAGCGGCTGTCTTTTCCTATTGGTTTAAACGTTCGTATCATTATGACACTCCTAAAAGATTCAGATAAAATAATTTCGTTAAATCTGAACGCGCACGTGTCCCGTGTATTTTTTAACAATTACCACCTGTGCGTTTATAGAACGTTAAATTTTTCAAAATTACTGTACAGCGTAGGACAAAATATAGGGTCGTAAGTGTGTCTATTTAAATCGCATTCGACGACGCTTGTACGTGAAGTCGTGGGAGTAAAAACGTTTGCTACACGCCTGCATGTCTACTTAGTTCGTTTATGTACGCGCTTAGTATATGAAAGCTTCGCGACCGGTGTAGTATAGAGACATGTCTTTCTCATTGTTTATTCATATAGTCGTTCTTCTTGTCTACTCTCTCGGCGATCCGTTTATTGTTTTATTATTTTAATTCTGGACACATACGCTCATGTGTGCCGCACCGAAAAGGAGAAACAAATAATAGCGACACTCACACTCACATAGTCCTAGACAAGATTGAACTCCCACGAATGTCCAATTAAAAAATATTAAAAACAAAACGATGTTCAACGTGAGAATATTAAGTATGCTCATGTATGGCAGCTGATATTTTATTTTCCTCGTGTGTATTATTTGGATTTGAAACAGTATTATTTTTCGTGTACGTGCTGGCTAAGTGTGGCCGATTCTTCTGGAGCTAACAACGCCGCGGCCCCACTCGCAAACAATGCGTTCAGGTAGCTTAAACTACTTCTGGTTTACATCGATTTATTGTTGCTGCAAGACAGATACACATACCTATATACTTCAACCTCGATCTATCTGTCATGTGTACACTACGCACATTGTATTTTCTGACAGTTGTGCGAATGAAGTAAACCAGACGGCATGTTCTTGTAGGTATTGTGCAGTTGAACCCACCCACCCACCTACCAATTGGCGTGCATCAAAATCGATCCAAAAAATTATTCCGTGCATAATTTACTGCCATATATTTCAATGGTTTTCTGATATCGTTTCAATAGTTTTGATTGTAATTCTATACAGTCTTAAATCTTGTAACTATTAGCTTGTTTCTGCTCCGGTATTTTTGGCGAAGAGCCTGATTAGCTCTCCGGGATATAACATAATCTTATTACCACCGCCCAAGGAAATTCGTACACGTACAAAATTATGTGTTTGTCCGTGATTGCCACGACGGTCGTCGGATCGATACGGAGACGATGTGATGAGGAGGCGATGACGCGGAAGTGTCTGAGGGGTATCACGTGAACCTCGAGGCTGTGTTCAGACATCACACTTAAAAAAACGTAACTACGACACCTAGGATATTTCCATATGCTATTTTATACCTAGTCGGTGAATAACAAAAATAATCTAGTATATCATTTACACTCTTTGCGTAACTTTCGAGTCCAGTTTTTACTTTTTTACTCGTGCGCGATTGAGATAAATAGACAACCATAACCCTCTGAGACTCGAGCATACATATAGTGTTTTATAAGCGTCTGGATATCGTCTACGAGTATTCCTATCTATCAACCCTCTCTGTATGAACGTTACTAATTGAACTTGTAGATTTTTTACACTTGTCTATAACTTTATCCTAATAAGAACTCTCAACACATAAATAAAAACAATATCTATTATGTACAGAAAACTTTAGCTCGGTAAATTGCGAAATACTTGAAGTTGGCAGCCACACATTTTTTAGTCTAATTATATTATTAAACGGTAGACCTTTAGGATTTTGCGAGAAAACTTCGTGCACCGCGGGAAACCACTTTCAAAACGTGTTGTGTAATCATATTACCTGTCACCGATCCGATAAATTGTGATAGTTATAATTTATTAAGACCAGTTTCGCACATAATCTTTTATACATTAATATGTATTGGATAATAATATTATCACAACTATTTACGAGCGTTGTAGATTTCTAAATTGTATGATAAGACCCGCTTACCGTTAGCAGTAGCTCACTATAATAATTATACACCCTCATTCTGTCTGGTCAACTCTTCAGATAGTCTATATCGCAACAATCTGACCGTTCAAGATAAACACTAGTCTTCTAACGATCCATCAATCAATCAATCGTTATTAACAATGTAAATATTTATACAGTATTACTATTGAATCGTTACTCAATACATACAGTTGCAAATACTAATACTTGCACTGCATGAGACATTAGCTCATAGTATACGATCGTAGTGTTGAAGTCACGTTTATCGAGATTTGATGCACAAAAAATACAGATAAATGTCAGTATTATTAAACGCTTTTTGATCGAATTATCGGTTATTAAGAATCTTGAGATTCTTAAAGAGGGATTCTTTTTACGTGCTAGTGATCCGGTGGCTAGTTAGTCGTTTGAATATCAGAAGAGACCACTACACGGTTCATACTAATGAGAATATATTATATAATAATGTTAAATTCAGATATGGTAATATCTGGTTGTGTTTGTGGGCGAGATTCGACTGTAAGGATCGAGTGAAAAATAGCCCTCTGTATTTAATATATTTTGGACTGGTTTTTATTTTTAGTGATAATTGTAGTGCTCGCTATCTAGATCCGGAAATCTAAAAGGTTTTTGTGCGCGCGGCTGTTATCATCGTTGTTGTTATTATTGTCGGAACATGGTGTCTTGGCTTCGTGGTGGCACCTCTTCTTCTTTATAACGTTGTTCTCGTTATTGTTATTATTATTATTACCTTCTAATTAATTTCATTCATCCATAAGGGTATGCTATTAATGTAACGATTTACTGGCAATGTCCGTTCTCACGAATGAGAGATAATGAAGATTATAATAGTATGAACGCGGACAATCCCAACGTTACAAATGGAATTAAATTTGCGAATGTGCGCATAATCTGCACGTCAATTACGGTCTTAGAGCCATACGACCGCAGACACGACATCGATAGAACCCGC